AAAGGAGGCATGTTCCCAGTGTCCTTTCAATATGGAATCCAAGAAAATTAAACACCAACAATCAACTACTTGCTTTTCCTTTAGACTATTTTTATAGTGCTTTAAAATCTTCTAAAGTATCTTAATATGTCAAGTACCGGCATTATAAAATATTATACTGTCTTGACTCATTAGGTTTACATTAAAAACACTGAGTACTAATATCAGCTAATATTGAATTTTTATATAGAAATTCTTTATATGAATGAATTCCCAAAATGACTCTACAGAGTCAAATATTATTTTTTCCACTTCACAGATGAGGAAATTGAGGGTTGGAAATATTAAGTAACTGGCTCAATGTCATATGGTTTAGGGTTCAAACTCAGGTCTGGCTAACAGTCTAAGTCTTGGATATTCACCACTGGGCCATCCTGCTTCTCATAACCTCACAAGTTCTGCGGAATTCATATGTGGAAGATTTCCTTTCTTTTTTTTTTTAAACAGCATTTCATCTTTTATAGACCAGAAAGGATGGCTGTGGTTCTGGCAATGGCATGGAGATACAGGGAGGAGTAACCTGGGGGAAAGGAAGCAATTTAATTAAATTCACTTGGAATTTAAAAAACGAATACCCTCTGTACCACAGAAGAATTACTGTCTTCCGGGTGCCATAAAATATATGTCTCCATATCATGTTTATTTCTTGGCTCTGACTTTTTCTATAACCATCCTAAGAATTGAAAAACAAAACTGTGTTTTAAAGTTTCTATTTGGAGTGCTTGACAGAAAGCTGGTGGTCTTGGATGTGAGTATCAGACCTAGAAGAGAGGTTGCTTATTTTCTCTTCTTCTTTTTCAGTTGCCTCTCTCTCACTTCCTATGCTTATCGTCCATGTCTTGACTGTACTTCCTAGTTTCTCTAAGGACCACCAGGATGTCCTGGGTGGAGGCTGAGAAACCCACCTTACAACAGAGGAGACAAAAGATCACAGGGTAGACCTTGGAGTCACAGACACCAAGAAAAGAGGAGAAAAAAGGCAAGAGGGAGGTGGCAAGATTTATGGTGGAAAAGAACGACGAGACGAGAATGCTGTTGGCTGGAGTGGCTCCGAATGAAAGCTGGATGTCTAAATGCGTTCAGCTGTGAACTCTGAACTTGCACTACTGCTTTATAAAGTGTGGGCCCTTCACTGTGCTCTGTCGCCTTCCCAGCAAGAGGCTGAGGCTGAAACGAGTTCAATGAAGAAGTCCAACTTTTACTGGACTTGCTACAGCCTCAGGCCCAGGATGGAACATGAGCTGCCTGTAAGACTCAAAGATCCCCTTTGGGAAAAGCCAGAAGAAGCCAGAACATTGGAAAACATGTTCCCTGTTTAAAGAGGAGATGTTTAACCTTCCCATGTTTTATTCTTTCAAAGCTGTCCCTCCTTTCAGACTAAATTAAGAAGGGATAACATTGGCACGAGCTCCAGGAAAGAGGTGCTAACCTTCCCCTTAGCTAATAATCAAGGCGATAGTACTAGCGTTGGGCTATGGGTTCTTTCTTTTCTATGTTAAAACAATAAATATTTATTATGTCTTATGATTCTACGGGGCCGCTGGTAACTGTCAATAAGAGAAGGAAGGAAGATTAAAAGAAAAGAAGAATGTGCAGGAAGGAATAGCCTAGGTACCACTCCTGCAGCATACCTCACTCACTTGCCCCCAGAGACTCCCCGAGGAGCTAGGAGCACTGACTGAACACCATCACAGATTTATCCCAGCTCCCTCTTTCTGTGCCTACAGCGGGCTTTACTCACTCCGGTTGGAGGGAATGAAATCACAATAACTGTAAGTCATGGAAGAACTCAGAGTGAAGAAAAGACAAACTATTTCTGCTTCCCGATTCCCTGGACAGTCAAGCTGCTCTGGCAGTTTTCTGAAAGCGGCTTCCTGGCATTTCCGCAGCGAGTCTCATCATCCACTGTGTTTGCTCTCAGTCTGTCCTGTCCTGCAGTTGTTATTGTCATTATTACTTTCTGACCGCAGGTTTGCCTTCTAGGATGGCCCAAGGCAGGGCAGGAATAATCATCAGTGTTTGCCTCTAATGCCCTTTCGGCGACCTCTCTGCCGCTGCCTAACTGGGAACCTGGACACTCCTGCTGTCACAGAGGGATGTGGCCTTCAGTGAAGGTGCTCCGTGTTCTCGACCTGTCCCCACCACCAGGTGAGATGGCCCTGGACCGCCTACTTTACAGTCCTGCTAAGCAACCATCTAATTGTTTTAAACCTTTCACTTTAAGTCCCCAGATATTCGACTAAACAGACCAGAGCCACCTAAAGAATTGCTTTTGCCCACCTTTCTTCTGTCTTGATTGTCTCTGAGGAAGACCCATTTGTTTTCCTGACCCAGGGGGAAGAGTCCTGCTCCTAACACCACCCCATCCTTCCATCTGCTCCAGGTCTCTGAAGTACCTCATTTAGATATTGAAAGTCTCTTCTGGATCTTTTCCTTATGGAGGCAGTAATGGACCCAGCTCTCCTGGCTGAGCATAGTACATGGCACATAGTATGTATTCAATTAAGATATGTGCTCAATTTATTAAATGAGATACTAAGATATTAAAAAACATATACATGATCCTCCCCTCAAGCAGGGCAGCCCTATTACACAGTTCCAGGGAGCACCATTGTATTTTATTCCATGTGAATGGCACCCCTAAGAGTTGTACACTGGAATAATAGTATTGCCCTCAGATATCTTTTCTAAAAAAACAAAACAACAAAAAACAAACTGTCACAGGATTCCCACAATCTTTTTTTTTTTTTAACATGGCCCTATAAAGAATGAGTATCCTCTGAAAACCAGTTTTAAAAACCCAGAGTTTTTCAAAGTGGGAATTGGACATACTCTGAAAGTTTTACACCCAAATTGAAGAGAGAGAAAAATAAAATCCATGTACCGATAGCTTATCACTTTATTACAGCTCTAAACCTTTTCATCTTATAAGAAAGAAAAGATGTTTGGAGAAATAGCACAATATTTATAAAAAGTCTGTGTTGGTATATTGGTTTAAATAAAAAATGTTTTCCAAAACCAAATTATCCCAACAATAATCTAATATGTTTGAATTGGGAGTTCTTTGTCAAGACTGGATTCCTTGCCTAGATAAATCAAACAAATTCACTAAACCAAATCAGTAGCATTGCCGTTTCCAGAGCTTCAGGGATCATGAAAAAAATCTAGGTGTGTAACCACACAGGATCTTAGCCTAAGCCCTTTGCCAAAACATATAAATACTTCTAGACACTTCTTCCACATGTACAAGAAACCTACATAAATCTAACTTTCAGAGAATGCCTTCTTTACATGCATTCACCTGGCCATGCTTTGTAGGCTGAGTAATTCCATTTGATGGACAGAGACTAAACTGAGATTTTAATCAAATGAAAGTTTGGTATAAATAAATAAATAAATAAATAAATAAATAAATAAATAAATAAATAAATAAATGAGCATGGAAAGAATTTAAGGCTCCATACCTACTTTCCTATAGAAAAAATAATCTTCTTATTCTTGAGTGATATAACTACCTTGAGCTAAAGGCAGACCTTGTTTGAGCAGAGAAGCAAGTCTTCCAGCCAATCGTTTTTTTGTTTGTTTGTTTGTTTTTTAGCTGAGCCATCCTGCCACCTGTTGGCAGCTCAGCTCAGGCCGGGAATCAAACTGGCAACCCTGTTGCTCAGAGTTCACACCCTTGAGCGAGCTCTTAACCAATGTAGCCACTCGGCCAGCCCCCAGCCAATCGCTTTTTAACCTAGTGGGTAAGTTACACCAAAGATGCCGCTGAAAGTCAAAATGTTGTCCTTCAAGTGGATGCTGTTCCATATAACTCAGTCTTGAGGGCAACTATGGAGCTGCTCACATTCTAAATCAGTGACAGTTTAGGGAAGATCAGCTTCTCTCTCCTTTGCTAAAACTTTAGTGACTTTTTATTGCCTTCCTGATAAAGCTCAAAATCCTTAGTCTGAAAAAAATAAATGATTTCAGTGAATTTGTGTTTACGTCTCCAGCTTCATCTCTTGACAATTTCTCCACACCTAAGTGTGTGTGCGTGTGCACACACGCATGTACACACACACACACACACACACACACACACACACGCACACAATGTACTATAATCCCCAGCCATACCGAACTCTAGGCAATATTGGAAATGAATCTCTTGATCTCTACTCCACTGTTATGTCATTCTCGCTGATTGCAATAGCTTTTCTTTCCAAGTGCACCTGGCTAATTTCTGTCTCCTAGTTGAGACTCATCCTCAATGATGCCTCTTCTGGAAAGCCTTCCCCAACCCTCCAAATCTGGCTGAGTTATCTTCTTTGTGCCACCGCAGGGCTCTGTAATACCCACATCATAGCATGTATTATAATCCTTATTTGGTTATATTTCCTCCCGATAAGGTATAAATGCTTTGAGGGCAACAAACTCAAACCTGGCCCAGTGAAGAAGTTTATTAAACCAACACTAGATGGTACCTCATCCCTCTAACCATCCTTACAATTTCTTTTACTGCTGTCCACTTGAATACGTTAAAAAATAGTTGACATACATTAAATAAATGGAGAATAGTGCAGAGCATCACAATACATAAGATTTCGATTCATAGGATTTCTTGATTTCCTTTAGGTTTCTGCCTTGAGAATTAGAAAAAAACTGGAAAACCTGCTAAACGAATGCACAAAATTCAGTACAAATTGTATTCTGGTTATGGGAACATTCAGAAAGAGGCGTTGCGAATTTGGAAAGGTTGGATGGAAGTTCCCACATTTTGATGCAAGTAATGGACATAGAAGATGTCAATGAAGGGAAATAGATGCAGGATAGACAGAATGTAGACTGGAAGAAAAAGAAAATAAACAAATGAACAAAAACATCTGGTTTGACTTCCTTGCATAGAAATCTGTCCGAAGCAAAGAGTGGCTTGCTGAGAAATCCACTATACTAACAACCACCCTTGGGCGAGTCCTTACCCTCTGGCCTGGCGAGCCATCACGTCCTGGTGAACCAATGCCTCCTGGAATACCCTAGGGAGAGCAAGGACAGGAAAGGAGTCAGATTCATGGAAATGAGTTACTCTGTCACCCGGCTTCCTTGGAACAGATCAAGGCCTCCAAACAAACCTAATAGCAAACAGGCGAGGCCTTCTTGACTGAGAATTCAGAAGCCGGAAGTTATTCACAGGAAAGGAAGACCCCCTACCCGGGCTCACCCTGAGACCATCAGTAACCCTCAGAGGGGGCTTAAGGTAAGTGCATATAGACGACTAACCGTCTTTCACACAGAAACCACTTATGGCCAAGATTCCAGCAGACTTTAGAAGCTACTGTCTTTTTTCCCTTGGCAAAGCTCTAGAGCTGAGAGCAATAGACTAAAAAAACAGAAATAATACCTGTGGGCCAGGAAGGCCAGTCTCTCCTTTCTCTCCTTTTTCGCCTGGCATTCCCTGAATATCCAAAAGCACATGGGGTTAAGTTCACATAGAGCATTTCTTAGCCTGTTTCTCTGCAAATGGTTCTAACGTTTTCAACATTAAATAACTTTCACACTAACATCCAAATACAGCATATTTCACTTCTCACATATGCTACACCACTTAAGCAAGCATTCCTATAGAGCTGAATGTTTATATATCAGAATAGTATAAACACCGAATATAGTCAGATATGGCTAAGCCCATACTGTAACATTTCAATATTATTTACAGTTTCGATTTTTAAAACTATTATCCATATAGATTTTGTTTTGCTTTGGCTAGAAATCTATAAGAATGGATAAACAAACATAGAAACTGGCAGGTAGCAAGACCTCAACAAATGCTTATTTTTAGTAGTGGTAATGGTACAAATTGGCAGGTTAATGCTTTCTAAAATGTGAAAATAACTCTGGAAAAGAAAACTTCTTAGCTAGGGAGATATATCATCTGTACAGATTGCTAAAAAATGGCTCAAAAGGACCTGTTTGCTTCAAATATTTATGACAGAGATTGGTTTTATTTTATAAATCTAGGTCTCTATGGTAAGATTAATGAAAATCGGTGACTGGAGTTAAATTTGTTTTCAATGGTACACACAGCTTTTACAAAGAAATGAAGATTGTAAAAAGCACACCGTTTATAACCGAAAACTCATGCTAAGTGCACTGCACTTTGATGCCCATTGATATAAAGATTATAAATAAAAGGCTTTCATGACTCTATAGCCACAATCGCTACAAATACATAATGAATAACTTAAATTTGTATAACATTTGTTACTTTCTAGATTTTATCACATCCATTAAGGACTTAGTCCAACAAGAAAAAGGGCAATACATGTCAAGCACTGTTTTTCTTTTTTCTATAGACAAATTGCTTGTGGATATACCTATTCCCTAGGCCTGTATGTGTTTGTTAAAGACCCCATCATTGACAAAAACATTGGCTTAGGAATGAACTCTCTATCTTTACTTTTATTTCTCAGTTCTTATGTGTAGGGTTTGATAGAGGATGAGGCTCATTAATAAGGCACAGAAGACAGAAGAAGTTCATTCTTTATAACTCATGGAGAAGTGACAACGATAAAACCCATCTGAAAGTTTACACCAACTCACAGGCATTCCTTGAATGGACAGACCGCTTGGTCCTTGGGGTCCAGGGGGACCCTGAGGTCCTGGAGGGCCTGTTTCACCCCGGGGGCCTTCTGGTCCCTGGAAGGCAAGAGAGGAAAATCATCCCATAGGTAAGTTAGACCCTCTGGTACCCAGAAGACATTTCGGTTTAGGGCACTTATAGTGTATCTCCTTAAATAATTTTTCCTAAGACATGAAACACTCATAGGATAACAAGACACCAAACCTCAGATGATTCACCTCCCAGGCAAAAATGTCATCAGTAAACCAAAAAAGTAAACACACAGGGGTTGTTGCAACTTTATATTCATCTCTTCCATAAATAAGAACATTATGCCAATTACGTGAGTTACTAGACCTCCCACACTCCATCACAAATCCAAAAGATATAACTGCTGTGAGACCACCCTCCTGGTTTGTGAAGGTTCACACCACACAGCTGAATTACATCCTCTCCACCTTCACGACTGCCAGCTACCTACCTCAAGGGCATTCCCCTCCATTTATTGAAGGCTTTGCACCAACCATCCATTTCCTTCCTCGGGATCCGGCCATCACACTGTGCCTCTTCAGTGTCCACAGAAGGACCTGCCCTCACCTCAACATCGTTTAATTTCCTTTCTTCTCAGGCTCAGACATTCCTTTCACTTTAGCAACTCTTACTCCTATAGTCTGGAACTTGTTGTGGTTTGGCTAAAACCACACATCTCGGTAATCTTAGACCCAGGAAACCTACTTATTCTCAGCCTTGTCTTCTTCTCACTTTTCTCATTCGGTGACTCCAACAAAAGCTATTTTTTTTTCTTTTTTTAAATAAATTAAGACTTCTGGCACTTGGATATCATCTTAAATGAGATTGATGAATTCATTATTTGAGACAAACAATATGGAAGAAAAAGCAAAACGGTGTAAAGTGGGGGTAAATAATGTGTGTAGCCTGAGACATGGTAAGTGTTAAGTGTAGGGGGATAACCATGTGGAAATGTCTAGTTGTTCAAGGAATGAATTCTGGAGTGGCTGAAGTCTTGTTTGTGGGTGAGGTTATTAAGGAGATTACTGATAGAGTGAAAGAGGAAATAGATAGAGATAAGATGACAATCATGTAGAAAGGAAAGGAAGAGAAGCCTGGGAAATAATCCAAAATGAAAAAGCCTAAGAATTAGGAAGAAAATGAAAATGGAGTGGGGGAGGGGCATAGGAAAGTCCAAAAGGTTACAGTCACCAGATAAGGAAGACACTCGCTCTGGAAACATTAGGGCTTGCTGGCAAGACGCAGAGGAACCAGACCTCTTATACAGAGTCTGGGAGAGAGGATATTGGGACAACTACCTTGAAAAGCAACCTGGGGTTTCTTCATGAAGTTGAAGATGCACCTTCCTCATCTTCCAACAAATCTAAGGGCTGTTGCAAGACCACTCATTCATGCTTGCAGAGACATATGAAGGATGTTCACTGTACTAATACTGTAGTAGGGAAATGCTCCGCAGTAATGGATCCATAAATTGTCATTTATATAATGGAGTATCTTACAGCAGGTACAATGAATAAAGTAAACAATGTGCGCTAACTTTGATAAAGCTCAAAGGCATACTTTAGGGTGAAAAAAAGCAAGCTGCACACAGTTGAAAATGACTGCTCTCCTATCTTGCTTCCTTGTTTCCAATTTTATTTAAAAAAAAAAAAAGAAAGAAACCTAGTAATGTTCTCTTTTCGAAGAACAAATACTCTGTAAATTTAATAAGTAAGCATATTGAGACAGTAAATCAAGCAAGATGGATGAAGAGATCAAGGGGAACAACACAATGAAAATGAAACAGGGAGTCGAATTATAAAGGGCCTCCAGTCCCATGCCGAGGAGGGGGAATTGTATTCTCAAGGCAAAAAGCATATATATGAGTGCAGGTTTTAAGAGTATGATATGACCCAGCATAACTTTACAGGAATGACTCTGGGGGCAGATGTGAAGAATTAATAAAAAAAATCAAGCCACTGAAGGCAGGAGACCAGTTACAAGAGTTGCCAGGAGCCAGACAGAAGTTGGAGAAGGCTGAACTCAGTGGCTGGGCTCATGCCATCCCTTAAGGCTCCTTGTGTAAAACAGAAAAACGGATGCCTTGACTTGGCTTGGCATGGCTTGGTCCTCTTGGTTGGTGCCTTTGTACAGTGTACAACCTGAACCACCACATCTGGTGGCCTTGGGCAGTGAGCTGTGTGTTTCATTATATGTTGTAGAAAGAAAGAAGGAGGAATATACAACCTGAGGAATTACCTGCGATTCAGTGTTCCCCCAAAGACGCATTTTTTTGTTGTTGTAAATAAAGGAAGAAAAGAATGTAGAAGAGGGAGAACTACCTTGGAGACTAAACCATTCCTGACCCACAAACCGTTCTTTTCACTGTTATTAAATATTTTTTTGATGAAAAAATACAAGTCCTTAAGGGGAAAGTCTTAGACACAATGTTCATAAAATGTAAACATCTCTATGTTGCATAAGTTAAATAGTGGGCCAGTTGGGTGGCGCAGTTGGTTAGAGTGCGAGCTCTGAGCAACAGGGTTGCTGGTTCGACTCATACATGGGCCAGTGAGCTGCGCCCGAGCTAAGCTGCTGCTGAACTGCTAACGGGCGGCCGAATGGCTCAGCTGGTGAGAGCACATGCTCTTAACAACAAGGTGGTCGGTTTGACTCCCACATAGGATGGTGGGCTGCGCCACCCTGCCTTCCTCCCCCCCGCCCCACAACTAGATTGAAAGCGGCGACTGGACGTGGAGCTGAGCTTGCACCCTCCACAACTAAGATTGAAGGACAACAACTTGACTTGGAGCTGATGGGTCCTGGAAAAACACAATGTTCCCCTTCCC